TCAACTAGGGAGTGGAGACCCTATGTTGGAAAAGGAGACTAGGGAGTGGTGACCCTATGTCAAAAATAATATCAACTAGGGAGTGGAGACCCTATGTTGGAAAAGGAGACTAGGGAGTGGTGACCCTATGTCAAAAATAATATCAACTAGGGAGTGGAGACCCTATGTTGGAAAAGGAGACTAGGGAGTGGTGACCCTATGTCAAAAATAACATCAACTAGGGAGTGGAGACCCTATGTTAGAAACAGAGACTGGGGAGTCGTGACCCTATGTCAAAAATAACGTCAACTAGGGAGTGAAAACCCTATGTTGGAAAATGCAGCTAGGGAATGGTGTACCCTATGACAAATACGGACCAAGAAGGTAATTTTTTTTAAAAAAAAAAAGAAAATTGCCCCAATGCTTATTTTCTGAGGGCATGAACAATTGACTTCTTTTTTTTTTCCAATCCATACTTTTTTCTTTAATTATCCTAGGAAAAAAAATTCTTCAGACTAGGTTTTCTTATCTTAGGAGAAAGATTCATGAGATTAAGAGTTCTATCCTAGGAGAAAATTCATTAGACTAGGTTTTTCTTATCTTAGGAGAAAGATTCATCAGACTAAGGCTTTTATTATCTCACAACAAGTCGTTCATCATCCGGAGTATTTTCAGCCATGACCGGAGGATCCTCCTTGATGAAACGTTGCAAACTCAACGTAGTAAGATAGAAGAGCATCTTCATTTGCCGGCGTTTGAAGTCAATACCGGAAAACTTTCCGGGTTTTTCTGCCGGTGCCATAGCATGAGCAGGAGTAGAACGGCTTGACGAGGCAGCAGCACTCGTAACAGTAGCTCCCGTTCCCACAACATTTCCATTAGTTTGGTTTTCGTTCGTCATCTTTTCTGTAGAGTTAGAAACACAACAGAACTTTGTTAAATCAGTGAAGTTTTGATATCTTCAAACTGAATACCAAACCAAACATACAACACGTAACAATGGTGAAGTTTTTATATACTTCAAACCCGTACGTTTATTATTCCGGTAAAGTTTTTATATACTTTAAACCGGACAGAACAATTATTGGAGTAGAAAGCACGAAGGCTTTAGTCTCCAAAATAGTATACAAAATATGAATAACAGTTTAATATATGTTTCAACACAGAAACGTTAGTTTTAAATTCCTTAAGCTTGTAAGCGCTACTGTGTTAAAACACAAATTCAGAAAAAAACTGTTAGAAAAATAAAAGAAACTGGAAAAACAGAAGAGTTTAAGAAATATTCCGAGTCCACAATTTGCTTGTGTGTCCTTAAGGAATTTTAACCCCCTCACACGTTGCCAAGGTAATGGATTAAATCCTCTCAGGATAAAACGGAATAAACCTTCCTGCAACAGTGGCAATACAAACTGCAGGATACCAACGAACTTAAAGAACAGAGCAAAATCGCACTTACGAATTTGAGAGAGAGAGATTGCGAATTAGAATGCAGTATATTCAGAAAGAAAGAAGTTCTGGAGTGTTTTTCGTGTGTAGAAAATGGAGCCTTGCCTCAGAATTTATAGGCAATTATCAGAAGAGGTGTCTGGAAAAGGTGACTTTTCAGAAGAATACGCTGCCTGCCGCGGTTCGACCGCGGTCAGAGAGGCTTTCTGAACCTGCTTGCCGCGGTTCTACCGCGGTCGCGGCAGAACCGCGGCCAAAGAGGCCCTCTTAACCTTCAGCAAGGTTCTGGCGTATTTTAAGCAGTGATTTGGCATTTAATTAATTATTAAATAATTAAATAAATTTTGTCCAAAAATAATCTTATCGATCGATCAAAGCCAAAGCCGAGCCGAGCGAGCGACGACGACGGCGCGAGGGTTCATTCTCTTCAACTCCTTTTAAGAGCTTTAAGAAGTGATTCTATATATAAGCACACAAATGTGGTTGTCCCTCACCAATGAGGGACAAAGTGCAAGACAAAAGTTCACTTCTTCAAATTTTCAATTTCCCTCCATTTCCAATTCACACTTCTTCTACTTTAAAGCCTAATGGCTTAAAGTCTAACAGTTTCATTGTAAAAGATCCTAGTGACCTGTTTTATACTTCGCAAGTTTCTTTACATGGCATCATGAAGTACATTAGGATCTACTTCAGGCTGCACTCATAGCAGATAAAAGGAGTTTAAACCTTGCCTAGAAGGGGAGAGTAGAAGGAAAATTGAATAAGAAAATCATCACAATATCTTTGCCGCCAAATGCTGACCGAAGAAATTTAATTGACCTCCTTACCCGCATTGCATGTCTAACTCCTAAGTTTCTATTGGAATGATCCTATTATGGATGACAAATGTCTCAAACTTGGCCAAAGTGTCCCCTTGTATGAACATTATCTATTGTAGTTACTAGAACTATAGAGATACCGACCAAAGCAGCACCCTATTTGGATTGTGTTAGTTTGTGCCTTCACTTGATTTCACTACAGAGTTAATTAACAGGACGATTTCTCTTGGCAGAGGCTCTCAACTGACTTCTACATAACTGACAAGAACTCTGGTATTAGAGCTTTTGTCAAGGCTGGACCTGAATCTAGAGTTATCCCGCTGGTCATAGAGAGCAGACTGGTTACAACCACCAAAAACTGTAAGGTTTTGGCTTCTCATTTGAGAAAATGGTTAAGGGACAGGAATCTTTCATCTGAAGCTCGTTTACTACGTCTAGAAGAAGGGTAACATATGCTTTTGCCTTATCTTTCTCGGTTTGCTTTTTTCTCCCTTTTGTTGCCAGACATGCTTCGGCAAACTAATAGCCTGAAATTCTTTGGATTTTTGGTAGATACATTAAGGAAGGTAGCTTGCTTAGTGTATTTGGGATTTTGCAAAGGAATAGTGATGTCATGGTGGTTACTCCGCCAGAGGAGCTCATTTCTACTGGCTGTCTATGGCAAAAGATGCTTCTCCCTGTTGATGTTGATGGGCTGATCCTTGGAATCCCATAGTCCGCCGATTTTGCAACCAATTCTAACTTTTTAGACACGCAATGGAGGAGATATGGGCATAAACCTTTGCAAAGACTCTAACAATGCTGCATCACATTTTGGTTGTTGCCATTCGCATGTACAGCAACTTGCCTAAAGGAAGGCTTGTTTTTTGGCTGAGAAATTCAGGAGTTAGTGCTACCGTCATTTTCAGATATTTTTCACCGAGTACATGTCAATTATCTTGTTAGAACATGGCCAGGTTTACATTGCAAGTGTTCGTTATTTGCTGCTGTCCTCGCTTTCAGTATGTGCTATGGTTAATCAAACTGGAATTGAGCTACAAAAGGTCAAAAACTAATCCCCATTTTTCAAACAGTTTATGTACATCTTTTCCCTTGGCACAATCAAAGGGTATTTTTGGAGCCATTTTGCACTTTCAAGAACCCGAAGCCCCATTTAGCGATGTTCTGTATACAATCTCATCAAGCGTGACGAGCGGAGCTCGGATGCATTAGGATGCCAAGCTGACTCAGGCTCACCTTCGCCTGGTAATCTTGAGTTAGGCTTGGTCCTCCCGACCAGGCCTAGAGCTTCACTCCAGTTTCCAGAGCACCACTCAACTAAAGTTGACCCAATTCATTATTTGATCATTAGTTAATTAGTTAAGAAACTAATAGTTCAGTGAAATATAGAAAAAATAAGGATTAGTTAACTCCTGTAGCAAAGGTTGATATCTTATTTATTTTAAATAAATATCCTTTTAAAAAATTATATTCCATAGCTACCTTTTGATTTTTTATAGCAAATATCTATTTATGGTCGTCTCCTACCCTTAAGCCATAAAATAAGCTTTGTATTATTTTTCTCTCTCATATCCCTTCAAATTTCTCCTATCCCCTACCCCATATCTATTCTCCCTCTCTCTCTCTCTACTTTCCCATGTCTTCTCCTCCGCTGATCCACCTATTAGGCGTGGTGATGATGACCCGAACATACAAAATAAGTGATTTTTAAGAAATAATTGACATAGACTGACGCGGATCCATGGTTTCGCAGTCTACTGTATTCGAATGAGTTGTTAATATGCCATTGTAATGTGGGCTCCACTATAATTCCTGCACTAACCATCTTCTCGATCTTGTTCATCACAAGGGGGTTCTTCATATGTTCCTGTGCAGCTTTGGGGTTCTCTTGGAAGCCAACTTTACCTGCTCGAGAACACGACATTCATATCACAATATCGAGGCGTGCTTCAATAATACTATAAATATTATATACCAAACTTTACCTGTCTCCAATATACACGAGACGACATTAGGGTTGTTCTTGAACAAAGACGACGGAGTTTGGGGCTGAGCAACTTGAATATTCTGTTAATATATTTCAATGTATCTCGCTGTATTTTATTTTATTCATTGTCTTTTTTTTCATTGTATTTCGATGTATCTCGCTGTATTCTATGTATTTCATTGTATTCACTGTCTTTTTTTTTTTTTTTTATTGTATTTCAATGTATCCCGCTGTATTCTATGTATTTCATTGTATTCACTGTCTCGCTATATTGCATGAATGTATTCATATGTTTTTTTAATTAATATAATTTATGTATTCAGATGTATTATATAATTTCTCTGAAGATTGCTATATTTTTGGGTGTTTTTCGGTTGAGAATCTTTTTTATAACTGGAAATACCAAATTTGTGTGTTATAATTGAGTTTGTTGAGTTATATTAGGAGTTTATTATGTTAATTAATTCACTTTCTGTTTAAAAATAATGTAATCCCCTATTTCACGCCGTGAATACAGTCGAATACAATAATCTGTCCAGCTGTAATCCCATGTTTCACGCCATGAATACAGTCGAATACAAAAATCTGTCTAGCTGTAATCCCCTGTTTCACGCCTAGAAATGCTACTGTATTTATGAATACAGTAGCTTAAATACATCGAATACACTCTAAAAAATCTAAAAACATGGCTATAGGAAGTAATATAATAAATGGTAGCTACAACTAGCTAATAACCGCTAAAACATAGTGATTTCTGAAAGTTTCTCAAAATATAATACTCCTTCCAACTTATTTGACAGTTTGATCCGACATGAAGTTTAGAAAGCAAAAAAGATTTTTAATATTTTTAATCTGAAACATTCTTTAGCTTTTGTGAACAATATATTTTCTAAAATGAGAAGTATAAAATAAATTCTCCAAATATAAGATGCATTGCTATTTGAAATGAACTAATAAGAAAATAATGATAACATGACATCCACACGATAACATGACATCCACACGATAACATGAAGAAATGTTAAATCGGTATCATAGACAACATAACATTCGTAATATATGACTCAGATTTGTAAAAATTGCACGGGGCGCCCTATTTGGTCGCCCCCATTTAACCTATATCTATTTTTTTTTAAACTTTTAACTTGTACCCACTTTATAAATAACTTCAGCTCCCTTTCTTCTCCGCTTCAGTACCTCACCAGAAGAAAGCAAGGATCTAGATTGAGATCAATATGCATAAAAACAACATCACAAGCGGTGCAAAAGCTACCCTTTCACGTTCTTACTTTATTTTTTAGCTTTTCTTTTTTCCAACTGTATGTAATATTAATAGTTCCAGCAAAATCTGATGTTGTCATTCACTGATTATAGTGGTTTTTGTAGCTGATAGTTGTTGTGTGTTTGTTCTTTTTTCTTCCTTTAAAAGAAGCACTAGAGAAAGCACACCTTGTAGCCTGGTGAGGGAAGCCGATGCTACGGTCAACCCTGGTTCTGCAACAAGGCAAACAAACTTGATACTGTCATGTATTTTAAACTAATGTGAAACTTCAGCTCTAGTATGTAATATTAATAGGTGGTAAAAAAACTTCAAGTTTCCCAGTTACAACACAAAAACTGAAGTTTTTGTGTTGTAACTGGGAAACTTCAGCTCTAGTATGTAATATTAATAGGTGGTAAAAAAACTTCAGCTCTAGAGCTGAACTTTTTGTGTTGTAAGTGGAAACTTCAGCTCTAGTATGTAATATTAATAGGTGGTAAAAAAACTTCAGCTCTAGAGCTGAATTACAAAACAAAAACTTCAGCTCTAGAGCTGAACTTCAGGCCCGGCTACTAGAATGCTGAAGTTTTGCGTGATTGCCTTTGCTACTTCAGCCCCGTATGCTGAAGTTATGCGAAAAAGCAGGTACGCTTAGAATTTTTTTTGCAAAGCGAGCACAAATTAAAATGTAACACAAAAAGCGGTATAGATGCAAATGCCCCTCAGATTTGAATATGTCCAAAAATTACAACTTCGAGACATGTGGGCTTTATTAGACTTAAACAAGACCAGTTTTCTATTTGAAATGTCCTCGAATTAAATTGTGAAGTGAATTGTGTAATCTTTCCGTCCCTCTCAAGAATCAATATTACACTAAAACCTAAATCATAGCTAACGTACTAGATTAACTTGCGGCTTTCTATTCAAACAATGTATGGAATTTGGACCATAATGTGGCATATCCAGAAAAGCATCAAGAAAAATAAAATAAAGAAGCAGCATTACAGGAGCACGAGCTACGGCATCACATCTCAAATGAACCATTATGATTATGGAACAGATATTAGAACAAATCATGCACCTGTAGGCTTGCTTATCAGGACGAACATACTAAACTCCCATCTAAACAGACATAAATTGAGTGCATAAAGATATCTTATCCAATGACAAATACTTGTCTATCCATGACATCAAGTTGAAGCAGGACTGAAAACTGTAAAAACAACGGACTGGCAATATATAGCTGCAACGCACAAAATTGATCTAAACTTAGAAAAGACATCACGTCTACTTGATCTTCTTCTTTGGCCTCAGCTGCAAGGCAAGAAAAGTTCGTGAGTGCCATAATAAGTATTGGGAGGCAAAGGAAGTGTAACATAAACCTATCATCCACAAACCTGGTTGCTGTGCCCACATTTTTTCTTCCTGCAGTTAACAGCACGAGGATGCAGGCGAGCATAGCACCTAAAACAAGTGAACAGGTTCCAGGATTAAGTAATCACCATCACGGTTTATAACATAAGCCATAGGAAAAAAAGTTAAGCCAAAAGCCCGGAATCTAACAGGGGAAAAAGAAACTTAGTCTCATTATTATGGAAGGACTTAACTTCTAAAGGCACTATATTAAGTAAAAGTAATAACCCTATGAATCTTGAGACACATTGTTTAAGAGAAGCTAACTGTCCACACAATCTTAACCAACTAATTGGTTGACCCGAGTGCAGAACGGATGATATAGCTAATCAAGGAAGGTCGAAAATGTCAACCCTTACATGTATTGTACTCAGGCGACACGGATGACATAAATGCTGAAGGTAGACCTTTTTCAGTTACAAATAAAGATAAATACAATGAGATGCACTGTCGAATCAATGGGCTAATAGGAGGCAAACAAAGTAATAGTCAGCTGTTTTCTTTTCACTTGAACAGCACAAAGTGCCTTGTTATTTTATTCTAATTTTATATGGCTTTTTGGTACTGTCCCTTCTTGTCTATATTTTCATTAATGTAGTGCTTATGCTTTCCTAAGCCGAGGGTCTATTGGAAACAGCCTCTCTATTCTCACAAGGTAGGGGTAAAATCTGCGTACAAACTACCTTCCCCAAACCCCACAGTGTGGGATAATACTAGTTGAACAGCACTTCCCCAGAAAAGCAAAGTTCTCCAATGGCATTAACCAAACTAATGAGAGTAGAAAAGTATGAATAAAATGAAAAACATGAGTACTTAGACAGAGAAATCGAGCTAGCTCTGAGCTTTACAAGAGAGAAATCCTTAATATTCTTACTAAAGGCAGCTAATAATCACATCATGGATCAGCTTAACAGATATTGTATTTGAATAGCATAATCAGAATTAACCTCCAAATAGGGATCAAAACAATTTCGTCTGAATATGAAAGGAATATACAATCTGAATTTCCAATGCATCAAATAACTTTTCATACATAGTGCACTGAGCAATTACTTCATACAAAAGCGAAAGGCAGTCGTAACTATAGAAAAAAATCTTACTTGCGACAAATCATCTTATCCTGGTTGTACTTCCTAGCCAAAGCCATCAGAGAAGGCTCAATAATCCCTCCACGAAGCCTCAAAACCAAATGCAAAGTTGACTCTACAAAATTGACCAGATAAATCATCATTAAGATTATAAAACAGATATAAGTAACCATACACTGCTAAGTCCATGTACATATTAGCGTTACTATAATACCTTTCTGGATGTTATAATCAGCAAGAGTACGTCCATCTTCGAGCTGCTTTCCGGCGAATATCAACCGCTGCTGGTCCGGTGGAATACCTTAAAAATGAAAATAAAATGGCGTCAGAAACAAATTACCGATACAAAGAACAAAGAGATGACGGAGAAAA